TTGCTACGCTTTTCTTTGCTTTTATGATGTTCTAGAGAGATTGGATAGGATGTTTGATTTCTATTGCGTGAAGCATGGTGTGTCCCTTCTCGTGCATTGTCCAGTAATAGCGGATACGAACTGCTCTTGTCTAAATACTTCGTTCTTGCCCTTGTTGAATGGGATCTACGAGCTTTGAGTCATAGATCTTTCTCTCTCTCCCCTAGCTTGAATTTGTCGGTGGAATACATAGGCATGTAGTGTCTACACGACTGGTATAGTGATTTGTAGAAATGACGAGGTGTGGATGGATGGATGGATAAGCGGATATGATGTCTTCATATCGATATCAGTATTGCTACCGTCAACTGAGCATCCTAGTTGATCCCAAATATGATCATCAGCATCTTCCCCCACGCATCCGTACAATCAACTCTCCACTTCACTCCGCTCATTCACCCCCACCCCTCCCCTTCTCAATACTCTCCCGCAATCTCCCCTCCCAGCCCTCTCTCCAAGCCCGATCTAATCCCTCCACCCGTCCCCCAAGCACAATACACGTATTCGCCTCCAACCTCACCATCCCCCTATGCACCCGCGTTCCCCGCTGCAAAAGTATCTTACAGCCGATATTCATTTTCGGGGGAAACCCAATTTTTCCCTGCAGAGGAGAAGACGCGGGGAGAGAAGTCGTAAATGCGTAGATGGTTGCGCCGGTGCGGTCTTGGAGGTGGAGTTTGAAAGGACCGGGGGAGTGGGATGGGGTTGATTTATTTTGGGGTGGGTGGTTGGGGAGTATTTGTGTGGAGGCTGAAGATCCGAGATCGAGGGGGGAGGAAGAGGAGGATTCGTCTGCGACGCGGATGATGGAACGGCCTTGGGTGCGCTCGCCTAGACGCTCGGCTTCCAGATCGAGGAGGAGATCGCTTTGGGAGCGGCTGATGTCTTGGATGTCGAGGACTTGGACGGGGATGTCGGTTTCGAGGAGGATTTCTTTGACGAGGGGGTTTGAGAGGGAGGGGGGGAGGGAGGGGGTTTCTGGGGAGAGGAGGTTGGGGCTTGTGAGGGAGGTGGAGAGGAGACGGTGGCGGGTTGTGGCGAGGAGGGAGGGGAGGGAGGGGAGAGAGGAGAGGTGCGTGGTGGACGGGGTGAGGATGGCGGTTAGGAAGGTGGGGCTGGGGAGGGGGAGGTGCGAGCTGGAGAGGGAGTGGAGGAGTTGTTTGTGTAGGGTTGAGGAATTGGGGGTGCTCATTTTTTTCCTTTTTGGTTCTTGGAGAGAGGAGTGGGTTGAGATGGGATGAGGAGGGAGTGCTTGTTGAGTTATGGAAATTAATGAACGAACTGATTTTCTAGAGGACAGCTAGAAATTGGTGGTGATCGATTGCGCGAAAGACATAATATGTCGTATCGTAATAGCTTTATTAGGATAACATGGTATGACAAGGGAAAGAAGGAGAGAAGCTGTATCTGAATACATTTACTCGTATGTACACTTACGATATTTGCGAAATAATAAAGCAAGTATTGGTAGCCTTGTTCATGTCTTGTATTCCCATCAGCCTTGCAGCCTTCCGGAAGCTTGGGCCGTCAGGCTATAGTGTTTATCAGCCGCGCCCCGGTGAGTTTCTTTTGCCCCAGATCAGAAGGAAATTAGAGCCAGATTTGAGACGAATGTTCTTCCCGGGTAGAGTCGAGGGTGTCACTGTAGTAGGAAAATTTCCCGCGTATATGAAAATCGAGATTCAACAATTTCCCATCTAGTAGCTCGCCGGGTGGGTTTTGTTAAATCTGTAGGAACAAAACTGACAACTTACGGGTCAATCAGATATTGAAAGTGACACACTTTTCTTTATGAAAACACACTTACGACACACATAGATATACAATAGACGTTGACTCAATTACGCTTCATACAAGTTGACAATATATGGAAAGCATATTAACTCACATTCATCCACACTCTTGTTTGCTAAATTGCTTCGAATTGCCTTGAATACATACATACATACTAATTTTGCTAGTCTCTAACCACTGGCTGCATCGAATGATCTATTCCCTCTAGATTCATTCACAACAACACCCACCCACTGCTTATTACCCATCCCTCAAATTTAAAACATCCCTAACAAATCCTCGTTTGTTTTCTTCGCACCACCCTGCTGTAACTGCGTTTGCGCACTAGGAGGTTGGCTAGTACCACTCAAATCTAGCCCTGCAAAACCATTCATCATATCATTCCCCATTCCGCCCATTCCCATGCCGCCAGCAGCTGGAGCAGGAGCAGGAGCATCAAATAAGCCCATCATATCTGCCATACTACCACCAGCATTGGCGCCCGCGGCTGGACTATCTACTCTTTGAGGCGTGCCTGCCAATCCTTCTAATCCACTGGTTCCAGCACTGGGAGGTGCATCTGCACTTGCTGGAGCTGCACCATCAAAATCAATGTCAAGGAGATTCTCGGCGTTATTTTGAGCAGGAGCACCATTTGCGGCTGCGGCGACGGCAGCTGCAATTGGATTTTCGACGGCGTTTTGACGTTGTTCCTGAATAGCGGCGTGCTGGATAGCATCGGCGCCGTAGCGACCTTGGCCCACAAATGTCTCAGGAGGTTTATGGTATACAGAAGCGAGAGTGCTGAGTTCAGTCAAAAGTTGATCGAGGAGTGCTGGGGGAAGGGATGTCATGGTTGTGGTGATAGGGGGCTTATCGGAAAGAATAATGTTCTAGATTTGTTGTTAGTATTCTGATCTTGGTTAGAGAATATTACGGTCATAAATACCTTTGCTATTGAAAGATCACCTGACAACAAACGCCAATATACATAAGCTCTGTCTCTAATATCTGGGTTGTCATTTTCGGCGGTCGATACTTGTAGAACTTTTTGGACGAGTCCCTGATTGTTATCTGGCTTCTTCAAAAATAACTTAACAACAGCTGTCAAGATTTGAAGTTGAGTTTGGGTAAATTCCTCCATGAAACCTTCAACAAATCCTGCAAGGATTTCATCTGCATTGCTGATCTTCTCGGCATACTCGCCAACAATCCAAATTAAAGCTCCCCGCGCGTTTGGCTCATCTAATTCGTCGATATACTTGCACAAGGTTGGAATAATACCCTCGTATCCTGGGTATTTTCTAAAGATGTCTTTGATAACGACAATTGCCTCCTGTACAACGTAGTTGACCTTTGTAGCAATCAAGTCGAGTAATGTGTTGACACACTTTTCGCTCGCGCTCTCAATTTTGATGGCTGCTTGACCAATAGCCTTAACTGCTCTTCGAACAAAATCCATGTCAACTTCAAGAGCGTATTCTTTAAGCTCCGATAATAGTTGATCAACATTCTTGTCGTTCGCTATCCGTACCATAATCTCCAATTTCTGAAGTTTTACATAAGGCGGATCGTTGTATTTGCAGAAGAAGACTCTCAACTCCTTACTAAGAATATCTGGCTTTGCTTGCAAGAGAAGATCTATGTTTCTCAAGGCAACATATTGGACTTCGGGTGCGGAAGCAACAAGAGTTACTACAACTAATTAGCTCAATCCTCCCTCAAGGTTCTCAATAGTCCGGACTGCAATCCAACAACCAGAAGCTTTCCGTTTCTGGATTCGTGTAATTAAAATGCTCTGGAATACTGAATTGCATTGGGAAATCATGGTTCTTCGGAACACCGAGAGCTTTTATCATGTCTGCCAGTCCAGACTAGGACACCTTGTTTTCCTTGAACATAAATATTTCACTTACCAAGAGGTGGAGCCATCTTTTTCAAATATTGCTTTCCCAAATCCGCGTTGACGTTCTTCATATGGAGGAAAACAACTTTGACGGCAGCCAAGACAACACTTGGGTTAACGTGTTGAAACTGAGGAGATACCCTTTCACAAATATGTTCTGACTCCTTAATATCCGAAGCCTTATAATCTGCCAGAGTAGATAAAATAGTTACTCTTCCCCATTCGGTACATTCGTTCAAGGCCATAAGCATCTTCTTTAATGTCGCAGATGTGATACGTAAAGCCTTTGTCTCTGGCGCAGTCTCATTGATTTCCACGAGCGCCGTTACAGAATTAGCCACAACCATAGGGTTAGGATCTCCAATCAATTCTTGCAGAGTTTCTAAGAAGCCGTTCTCGAGACACATTGTAGGATTAAGGTCGAACAATTTCGCAACACAGATTGCTGCAGTCTTTCGTACGTATGGTGATTCATCCCTTAACGTTTTCCGCAGTGGTTCCTCCATATAATCTACCATCTTATCTACTCGAATACAGCCCATTGTCCGAATCGCAAGAGCTCGCACCAGTGGATTTGGATCTTCGGAATCTTGTACGAAAGTATTGACCGCTAGAATACAAAGGTCGGGATGCGATTTGGCATAATTCCTAATGATGAACATTAGCAACATCATTCATCCAAGTCCCAATAAAGAGTCTTGACAAACATTAAATACAAATACACCAGCTTCTTCTGGTCTAAATCTGATGTAGCAATATTCTTTAAAACATCTGGAAACAGCGCAGACACATCTTTGCCCAGGGTCATGGACATGATGGTCTTTTGAATCGCTTCTTTGCGCTCGTAAGCATATTGAGATACTAAACCAGCTCTCAACTCGTATGTTTCTCCCTTCTTGGGTGGTGCAAAGGCACCTTTAATCCTATTCACCGCCATCGCTCACACAGATGGCGACCTTGAGGGTGCCCCTCATACGCCGATGGCTAAGTTGTCGATTGACGGTAAGGCCACGGTTCGTGGAAAGGGTTAACTAAGGTGAGCTTTGAAATTTCCTGGAGGGAATCCGCAAGTGTTTCGTATAGAAAGGGAGAATCGTGAGATTCGTGGATTGTGTTGTAATTGAAGTATAGGGTCAAAGTGGTGGGCAGATTGTTGATACCAGATAGCTTCAGCCTGGTGCGCTTTGTACAGGACTCGCTAGATCTTGAAAGAACAGGGGACCAGCAATCGTGCTTCCAGATGTGAATCCCCTGTCAGATAAAAGTCATATGAAACAAATTGTTGGATAAACTCCTGGAAGACTTCAATATGGTAACATTCATCAATCCCCCTTTTTATTTTTGTTGAGTTGCGAAACTAACGATGGCTTTCTCTAAGGCAAATTTACCCAATCTTCGAAGGCTCTTTGTTGAAGCAAGAACAGATGCTGAAGAGAGCACATATTCAAGGAATGCTGTATGTTTCCTTCAAGATTGAAGATCTATGGCTTTCAGCTCATGAATTATAGTTCTACAACATAGTCTTATTCATATCATCTATTGCAGTATTCAGTGTTGTTGCACAGCGTGTCAGCAAAGTTCAAACCTGATTACTAGCGATGGAATGCTCTATCCAGGCAACTGGAAAGAGACGTCAACAATTTGCTGTACGAAACTTTTCATTATCTTGGCTTTCTAGAGGCTTGAATAAAGTTCCTGGGCCTCGTATGATTGAGCGTGCAGGACTCTGGAATGTGTGAATGAAGAACTCAAGAGTCCAACACACCTGCTTTGGAAGACACTGTCCCTGATCTTCACAGGGCCGGGGTGTAGAGAAGCATCGTGATCACAAACGCAGTGATCCCTTTTGCTTTACCACAGTGCCAAGATGAAATACTACCCACATGGCCTATTACATAAGGGCTCAATCACAAACAGATTTTCTCCTTCCCGGTGACTCCTTGGTATATCATAGCTCTTCTTCCCCGTTCCCCATTGTCCCCGTAAACCCCGTTCCTCTCCCCGTCCGATTGCTATCATCACCCCGGAAGCTGTGGTATAGGTCCATTCTGCGCCAGAACTCCGATTCCTTCTCCCTCTCAAGCGGTTTTCCCATCCACAACCTCCCCAGTAGTGTTCTTTCCTGGCGCAACTGCCTCCTTGCCGTCCTCTTTCTGCTTCTCCCATTGTTCCGGTGTATAGCACTTGGGAGTCCAGGCATGGATGGCCGCAATCTCCGCCTTCAGCGCTCCGTTCACCAACCTATGCCTTGCCAATGTAGTCTTCTTCTCGAATTGCGGTGAAACAATCACGGCAGAGAATGCCTGTCCACAACCTCCTATAGACCAGAATCAATCAGCATGGCGGGGATACTGCGGGGCAGTTGAAGGTATCCGTACCTGACATGTCTTCAATTTCGACGTGACTTGCATTTAATAACTCTGTGATCTTGACCTTGAGAGCTTCAGCAGATACGCCTGAGGCTTCTGCCATTGTTTCTGTGGTGATATAATATCGGTATATGTCAAACACTGTGTTAGAACTTTTTCGAAATTATTGTTATGCGAAATCGGGGATTGCGATTGCGATTGTGATGATGCGAAAATGGCGCCGCTTTAATACATTACACTCTGGAAGAAAGTCATCGCTAGTTGGGCTGTAGACAAAATAAACTCAATATGAACGTGATGTTCTCAAGAATAGTTTCCAAGAACATTGCAATATCAAAGAGAACCATGTCTACAACTTCTTCTCCGTTCACTCAAGCTGTTGTTGCGGCTATGAGAAAGTTGTAAGTTATGGTCAATCAATATCTCCCAAATAGTCCATTTCTCATGGTGCATTGCAGATATCCAGAAAAGCTCGCGGACAGCAGTTTTGATAACACGGGGCGTGAGTTTGATTACCCATCTCTGAGAATCTTTCACTCATAATATTCAAGTTCTGTTGGAGGCACCACATCGTGAAAATCACCTTAAGGATTCAGTTCTTCTGACTGTTGATCTCACAAAGGGGGTTGCAGATGAAGCTATCCGCAGGAAAGATTCAATCATTGTCACATATCGTAAGTATATTTGGTGTCTATTAGAGCGAAGGTATCATATTTCTAATCATTTTTAAGATCCTATCATATTTCGTGGCCTGAAAGCAGTCACCCTTGCCAACTCCCAACAGAGTTCTCTGCTCCGTCTTGCCCAAGAGGGAATCAGTGTTTACAGTCCTCATACAGCTGTAGATGCTGCGCCAGAAGGCCTCAATGACTGGCTTGCCGATATAGTCACCAATCGACCCTTGAAAAAGAATCAAGCGTATGCTCAAATTTTAATGCTACTCGTGAAATGAGACTGATATAAAATAGTATTGGTATCGAATCCATTGATCACGAACGCTCGATTATTAATTCCATCAAGGATATACCCGATGGGTTCGAAGGTGCCGGATATGGCCGAATCGTTCGATTCAAGCAACCTCAGAAGCTAGGAGATCTTGTTGCACGGATGCAATCTTCACTCCAAATTGGAGACCGTATATCCGGACTTTCCGTTGCGGTTCCACAATCCATACCTAGAGGAGAAAAGTCATCTATTGAAATTTCTTCCATTGGCATATGTGCCGGATCTGGAGGATCCATGCTGAACGGCTTGGACGTTGACTTATTATTCACTGGCGAATTGAGCCACCATGAAGCCTTGGCAGCGGTTGAGCAGGGTAAATGTGTTGTCACCGCATTCCATAGCAACACTGAGAGAGCCTATTTAAAGGACCGAATGCAGTCTGCATTGGCGGAGGCAATGGAGGGCAATGCGGATATTGCGGTAAGTGAGATCGATAGGGATCCCTTTGATATAATTCACAAGGATGAGGTGAACTGGTAAGATACTGGGTGTCCTTGCAAGTATATACGAATAACTGTCCGCTTGTGTTCGATAAACAATAATAGTTCGTGTGCTGTCGTGCTATCGCTGTCACTGCGGTATCGTTATACTCTCAAAATGTTACCGCTATGCTGTCGTGCTGTCGTTGCTGTGCTGTGATGAAACTATCGCCGTCATGATGATCTCTTTGCTCTTATGTTAACCCAGCTCTTCTCATTTGGAGGCTCGCCCCTCAAAGCTGCCTCTCCGTCTTCTATACATGCCTGCACGTCACTTCCCCCTACACCTCTCTCTTTCCATCTTCTTAGCAGCGTTAAGACTTTTTCCCATTCCAATCTGGCTTCGTCTTCATTGCCCCCTGTGACCAATGATCTCAGCTTCTCAGGTGTCTCCAATACTTGAAGTACAAGCTTCTTCATGTTTTGTTTTTTCTGGAATGCCGCCCTTTCCTCTGCCCCCATCTCCATGAGTCTCCTTTGTGATTCCGGAATGCCTTCCTTCAACTCAACCTTGATCTTCTCAGCCCTTTCGTAGATACTCGCGATAGCCGGGTCGAGCGTACTGGCCATTGGATTTAATGGGTCCATGTTTGTCCTCATCTTCCTGATTGTCTCTGTTGCCGTAATCAACTTGCTGTAATTATCATAAACCAGTGCCTTTTTCTCCGCGTCTAGGGCCCTTATATCGGTCAGAACTCCATTGTAGGTCCGCAATAGCTCTCCCAGTGTTTGCTTTTCCAGAACCTCCTTCACATATTTCTCCCCGTCAAATCCGTCCTTGTCCATTTCGCTTTCTTGTACCTCACTATCAAAGTGTATTGAGGAAACTTCGGATGCCGCATCGTCAGTAGGAGCGTCTTGTCCCTTTCTGAGGTTATAATATTCTCGCAAAGCGGCACGGTTGCGTCGAGGTATCGCGACTGAGGATCCTCGATTCGGAGACGGCTCAGCTGAACGGGAATGATCTAGACTCGGTCGTGTTGAGGAAGTAGGTGTAGTGAGTAAAGGAACGCGACGCCCGTTAACGGAGCTTTCTCGAGGTTGGGCAATTGTAGACATGATGCGCGGGGTCAATATTTCGCATCAATAAGTGTATAATGCTTCTTGGTTGAATAAGGAGACGGGAATGAGGTGGTGGCTCGAGCGTAAGGCTGAGCTGCCAAACTACAGTTCGCTCTCATGAATCGCATCCGTTGTCCAATGATATAATCACGTCAAAACGATGCGGTGTAATCCTAGACCCTGAGACAAGCGAAAACAAGCTTTTGGTGTGACCTTCATATCCTTGCTTGACGTTCTTACCGAAATTACATACGATCTATATTGGGAAGCCATTGACATGTTTATTTACGCGTAAACACAAAATAAAATGGGCCAACTGTCTAAATTGCACAAACTTCACTCGGTGCTCCCGTGTGTACGGACCGACCGGAACTGGATTAGCGACCCCTAGACTTCGCAACTTCATCTCAATGCAGATCTCGCGTGTGATGTGAACGCGTAGGCATGTCACTCTCAGCTGTATACGAGTGAGATCTTCGATAGAATGTTCCCTTCTCCCCGGACTAAATTGTCCTTACCCCTGAAATGAATTTCAAAGCACATCTCTAAAGGGATTGTTCCCCGATGAGTTCTTAGCTATGAGTGGCTAGGTGCCAGGTAGTCCCTTCTCCTGTCTTTGGATGACAGCTTCTAAAATCTTCACACCGTCTTTATCCTAGTACCCAGTCATCCCCGCCTGTTGCTAGTGCACCGATTAAATGCTCATTTCCGAATAACGAGTTAATGGCAAGCCTTTGCAGACTTGCAAGTTGCAACAATGTAATTAATATAATTTTGGGGCACCAAAACAAGTGTTGGTTGATAAACCACCGAGGTAACGAAGCAGATGTACCGTTGCACGCTGACTTGAGATCGTTATATACGAGATGGCTTCCCCTCTTCGAAGTTTCTTTTATGCCGTTTGCTCCATTGCAAATTGCCTCCTTTCTAAAACATAAAGATGATTGCTATCAAGGCCGTTGTGATTGCAGCTTGTGCAGTTCAAACTGCCTACGCTTTGCCCACTAATGCTTCCCTACCAGTCGTTGATCTTGACTACGCACTTCACCGGGCTACGATAAATGTATGCCATCTCAAATCGGTCACGTTCTGGAGTGGATGCTAAATACAATTACAGGAGACAGGACAGTACTACAACTTCTCGAATATTCGATATGCAGCCCCGCCTATAGGAAATCTTCGATTTGCCGCTCCGATCGAACCAACTGAAGTAAACCGAACCATCAACGATGGCCAGCAGGGTGCTATCTGTGCGCAGGGAACACCTTATTGGGAACAAGTCGCTTCGTACTATTTTCAAGGTGCTAATACATCTACATTGGAATTCGTCGAGGCAGAAGTAGAGGCAGTCGAGAAGAATCTCACTATCTCGGGACTCGCCGCGCCAGCACCATTGACTTCAGAGGACTGCTTGTTCCTCGATGTCATTGTCCCAAAGTCTATATACGATTCTTGTGGTGAAAGTAGCGCCCCCGTTGTTGTTTGGGTTTATGGAGGTGGTTATGTCGCCGGATCAAAATTTGGTTCAGGCAACCCGGCCACGTTGATTTCAAGGAGTCAAGAGAATGGGGATCAAGGTGTAGTTTATGTTGCTCTAAACTACAGACTTGGTCTCTTTGTAAGTTCATATCCATTGATTTGGAGGAAAGTAATTGACCAGGTATAGGGATGGCTTTCTGGTCCCACATTCGAGGAAAGTGGAGCAGCAAATGCTGCTCTTCTTGATCAAAGATTGGCTTTGGAATGGATTCAAAAGTATATTTACCTCTTTGGTGGAGATGCGGATCGAGTGACAGTTATTGGCGAATCGGCTGGAGCTGGGTCGATCATGCATCACATTACAGCATATGGTGGTAGCAATGGCAATGCGCCTTTCTCTCAAGCCATCCTACAAAGTCCTGGCTACCCACCCGTTTATTCCGATGCCCAACAAGAGGCGACTTTTCAAAACGTCATCACTCAAGCACAAGAACTTATTGGACCTAACATCACCTCCGTATCGGATTTGAGAAATCTTGACTTCGCCACGCTGGCCGGGCTTAATACTATTATTACTGCGCGATCGGCTCCGTATGGCACTTTTACTTTCGGACCGGCAGTTGACGGTACTTATGTACCTGAGTTACCGGCCAAATTACTTCTTGAGGGCAAATTCGATACGAACGTCAAGATCATGACAGGGCACAATTCCAATGAAGGTGCATCCTTCACATCTCCCTTCTTCTCTACAGACGCCGATATCGCTACCGATCTTACAACAACTCTGCCCACCATATCCAATTCCACACTGGCCTACGTGACTGGAACCCTTTATCCACCAGTCTACAATGGTTCTTATCCATACACGAGTGTTTGGGAACGAGCATCCCTGATCACAGCCGAAATTGTTTTCACGTGCAACACTCGCTACCTGAACACCGCGTTCCTCAACGAAACACACTCCTACTACTTTGCCGTTCCACCCGGACTTCACGGCGAAGATATTGCATACACGTTCTTCAATGGTGACACTACTACCTCAAACGATGGACTGCCAGTAAACGCTACCATAGCAGCTGATTTACAAAGATACATCATGAACTTCGCTATGACAGGTAATCCCAATGGGGTCGGAGTGCCATTCTTCCCAGAATACCAAAGCAATGCCACGACAATCGTTCTTGGAACTACTGGTTTGGGGAGTGTGCAAACTGATACCACTGCAAACAACAGATGTGCATGGTGGCAACAAGCGTTGTACGAATAGTTTGGGTGTGGATGCGGATTGATGCGAAATATTAATATTCACGTATATAAACACTAGTTGTGGTTTTAATGTTTAAGTTTAGTTTATATACATGTATAGCATACGTTTTTGAGTTCATTGTTTGCCCGTTTGTTGCCTCATGACTAGTACTCTAGCTTGTGTTGATCCGTATTTTTTCAAAGAGGAAATGGCTACCTCAAACCAGATCAGTGTATTCGATGGTCCAGAACACAACCCAATAGCGACAGTCTCTTGGGTTTTGGCATTATGCCATTAATGAGTTTATTGAAATAACGAATTCCTAAAAGTTTGAAGAATTTCAAGTCAGACAATGGATCAATAAACTCATAGCGAGGTCACAAACGAGATGCTCCCCCAGATGGCAGATTTGTCTAAGTATTTTATCCCATACATAAACCTACCCTTTTCATCAATAATTTCTTTTCAATAGATCGTGTAACATGTTCTCACGTGAAAAGTCCGAGACTTCTCAATTCTCAGCCCCTTTTCTGATAATACAAAACTTCCATATACTCTCTAGTAAGCGCGAATCCACTAATCACGAGCATAAATCAAGGACGAACTAGGTTAATTTCTACTTCAATCCTACCAACGCTGATATGCTTTCAACTTCAAGTTTCAATAGACTGACTGTCATGTTAGACTTTGCAATCGTGAGTTTACATGGCAAAGCCACATATTGTGGCGTATGTTCTGTGATACGATAATGGTCGCCTCCGCATGCATGCATGACATGATTAATATTTCACACCTTCATTAAATGGCTCACAAAAATCATCCATAAATCTAGCATCATGACTCAAGACTTTAACTGGAATCTCCTAGGACTTAATAAACGAGAATTCACTGCCTACGCAAATCTTCTTGCACTTCGAAACGATGGACAAGTTGAGCCAGTCTCCTTGGGCACGGAGCTGTCTGACAAGAACGAGTCTACTACCGACAGCGATGCGATTAGTGTAGACACAAGCTACCGTGACCAAATTTCAGATTCAGCATATAATCAATTGAAGACAAAGTTCCTGGATTGCCTGGCGGAATTGACTGCCAATAGGAAAGGCGGCAAATATGTTGCATGTTCCAGTATGATGGAGGGCGAGGAGAATGTGACACTTTGGATCACCCGAAATGGAGGCTTTCAGATTGTGGACAATATTTTCTTTGAGAAGTTAAGCAAGCGTCTAAGTGGCTTGTTCCACGGAAAAGGTACCTGTTAACCAATCAACCCTTGAGCCAAATCTAACTTTTTGTGAAGACTTGCCGAACCGAATAGTCGAGGAGGTGTTTTGGAATGAAATGTTGGCGTATTATGAAGACCGTCTCGAAGAAACTTATATTCCGAACCTGAGGCTGAGCCTCAAGAGTTGCAACACCACATTAAACGATGACAATAACGACAAGCTAGCTACAGCACGTAACGAACTTTTGGTTCTTCAAAATCAGACCTTTGCTAGGCTAGAGGCGGGTCAGAGGTTGATCGACAGACATGGCACGCTTGTCACAAAAGCATATGAACTACGAAAGAGCAAAGTCGTCGAGGAGCTTCTCCAAACATCTCCGAAGTCTACGAAACGGACTGGGGGACTATGGAATGATATTTGTTTTCTCGGTAGGCTTCGGGTCATACTTGAGAAGTTCAAAGAGGTTTCTCTCAAGCTCCCAAGTTTCAGCAATGTCACCATAATCCCAGTGACCGGTGATAGGATACCGCAAAAGGCGCTCAAGGATGCACTCAAGCTAAGAGATACCTTGAATCTCCTTGATCTACCGACCGACACCTTGACAGTCGAAACTGTGATCGGGCCAAGCTGGACTGTTGCCAAGGCTGAGCGGGAGTACGGGAAGTTGCAAAAGCAGGCACTTAACATACATGCTGAGATTCAAATGATTCTGTTCTTGAGTAAGAATGAGCGGTTATTGGATCAATCATTCGCCTATTTTGGTTGCAGCAAGTATAGCTGTTTCATGTGCTCGCGTTTCCTCAAAGCATATGGCAAAATTGGTACAAGAGGTTGCCATGGACGACTATTCAAACCCTGGACGGTACCCGAGGTAACAGGACTAGCTTCTAGCCAGGCGGATAAAGTAGCCAAATCATTGGTACAAGTGCAAAAGGACATTGAGAAAGAATTGAAGTCAGACTTTCACAAAGCAGTACGACTTGAAAAAACGTCTGTTGTTGGTGGAAGCAGCATATTCAGTGACCACAAGGCTGAAAATTCAGGTAAGCACCTGGTAATAGAGCGAAGAAAAAAGAAAATGGAGCAAGAAAGAGTTGCTGGGCTATTCAATAGGTAAGAAGGATCGAGATACAATCTTTCATTTGTTGAAACTGTTATGCAAGAGCTGAGACCCGGACAGATTATCGGTAGGAAAGAGTGATACCGCTTCCCCGAAGCCTACCTGGGGAAATCTGTCAGACGGCACATTGGTAGAGTCAGAAGAACTTGGTGAATGCAACACCTGTGACATCGCGACATCGCGACTGTGCAGTATCTGTAATATAGATTTCTATTGCAGTGAATCATGCAAAACCAGAACACACGGGTCGCATGTGTTCACGTGTGCCAAGCGACCGCTCACCTAGGCTGATTATCTATATAGAAATATATCTGAGGATACCATTCCTGATGAGGAGGAAGTGCTTGAGGATTTTGGTTTCAATCATCTGTCGTCATTTGCCGATCGATCTAATCTTTTGGGGCTGTATAAGGGGTTGTGGCTCGGCGGTGTCCCAGTCGAAGACATTCACAGATGGCAAGTTGAGAGTACCCTTATTGCTAACATCAAAAAGCACTTCTATCAAATCAGCGAAGCTAACCGAGGGGGGTATTTTCCGTGGTTTCTGGACAATCTACATATTTTAAAGAAACCATTATCTCAAGAGGAGTCAACTCAGAATCTGCTAGCCACATTTTACGACCAAGCCCGAGTTTATTTGGATAAAGAAGACCAGCATAAACAGCCAAGTCAATTAGAACCCGAGGCCAAGATGCAATGCTATGAACTTCTAGCTATGGCTCTTCATATGATGCTTCCAAATCCAATCCAAACGAACTGGTACAACTTTGGCTTTTGCACTTGCAATGGCGAGCGAGAGGAAAGCGCGCTTGGAGTGCTCTATGCACGATTACTACTCGGGAATGAACTTCTTGGGGGCCTTCGAGGCAATACCCAACACTTGTTCTATGGTCCGGCGCCGCCAACAGCTACCTTTGCGGAATTCTGGCATGCGTACGAGTCTGGTACATTAATCGAACTCATAGACTCCAAAGGTCTGACAAAAATGCGATCAGAATTCAAGTTCCTGGAACGGTTTCTATCGGGATCACCCTCCGGACCACAACCTTCAGTCTGGTCTTTGAAACAGTGCGTAGCCATTAACAATCTCGCCGAGTTTCCACCAAACGCAACAATACAAGTGGATTATGGGTTCATGAATTGCCAGACCTTCGAAGAAATCTGCATTCTGTTGGAGATTTACAAGAGACTTCTGAGAGAGGTAAATCCGCTAGAACTTCACGAAGCTTGTTTGGCCGGTAAACTCTTTGAGTTTGCGGAATCATATCATGATATGGATGAGGGTCATAGGATGATGATGAGGAATCCATACCCTTTGCGACGGAAGTGAGAATTAGCTAGTGCACCCGCGGGTTTTTTTTATTCACGACATTCACGACATTCACTAGTTATGATCCCTTCACAAAGCAACAGTTAGTTCTTTGTGAATAACAATATCTACATACCTTACAATCAAGCCCAAGACCAACGCAGACGCTCCAAGTGCAATACCCAATCTGAGTGAGGGTAAGATCAAGCCAAACCTAATCTCGTTTGTGCAATCCCTCGCTTATGAGACCAGGATGAATCAACATACCCCCAATATGGATCTAATTCAGCAGATTTCTGTCACATACGACCATAGACTGAAGAGAATTGGGCATCCCGTCCGCTCTGCCATACACAAGCTTCAGATCGGTGGATTAGTAGTTGGGTGGGTGACCACCAGCGAATCCCCACTGTTGTATGTTTTCTTTTTGCTTTTGTGACGGGGGATGTTCGTCGTCGATATTTCTTGGAGGGCGACGAATAGTAGATTTGTGATGTTGGGTTTATATTCTACTTTTGGTTCGGTGTGAGTTGGTGATGCATGATTGACATGTGTAATGATGGAGAAAGAGGATTATTTTTGAGAGAATTTCTGGCCTGTGTATTGTATGTTACTGATCAGACCATCTATATCTTTTAGCTAGATTATTTTCCCTATATCAGCACTCGCTTCGTTTTGATACCATTCGTCTGGAACATACAGTTGTTTATTAATAGGGTTTGTACTAGATGTGGTAAATGATTTCACCAATACTTACTCCTGACAGAAATCAAAGTAACATCTCACTCATCACAGCACATCAGTGGGTCACAAATAAGGAGTAGAAATAATTTCTCAATTATGCGTATAGTGTATTATATGTATATATGACTTACCTTCAAAACAAACAAATTTATATCCCGCAAAGAATGAGGCAATGCAAAAATGAGAGAAGGAAAGAAAGAACGAAAGAGAAATCAAAGACCTACCTAGAGTACTCACCCTACTTACTCAATAGTCTGAAACCCCGTAATCCTATCCAAAACCCTCCACTCCTCTTTCTTCTCCTTCTTTTTCCCAGGCACCAATTTCCTCAACCTATCCGTCCCCCTCTTCATGACCGCGCCCAACTTTCCTCTCATCCCCTTCCCCTCACATCCCTCCTTCTCCTCACACCCCAAAACCCTCTCTTTAACCACCAACTCCCCTTTCTTCTCCCGTCTCCTCTCTCCCCTTTCCCTCTCCTTCTTCTCCGCTTTCTCCTGAATCCACGTCCTCACCCTCTTAACACTCACCCTCACTCCCCTCCTCCTCCTCTCCAACCCTCCACTCATCATCGTAAACGCAGACCTATCACTCATACTCACATGTTTCTCATCATAGTGATTCGCCGCCTGATGATCAAAATACCAATGCGTATACATCGCTGCACCACGGGGCTCGAGTTCCGAGGCTGGAGTCGCGGGTTCGATTTTGAGGGTGTAGTTTGCTTGCTCTTGAGCTTGCTCTTGAGCTTGCTCTTGAGTTTGTTCCTGAGACAGAGCCTCAGGAGTCAAAGGCGAAACGGGCGAACCAACCCCGCTCCCACGAACAGCAAATGCATCTTCGGGCGAAACGGTAAAGGAAGGAGTATGCACTAAAGGAAAGATGTCAGAATCGGATTCGGTGAAGATACTTACATGGGGTCTTTGAACGGCTCTCTGGGCGAGGGTTCCTCTGCGCTGCAGCTGTGCTTGTTTTTGGCGACGAGCGAGCGTGGGTTCGCGGAAGAGGGCGCGGTTGAGGGTTTGTTGGACGTGGGAGTCGAGGTGCGGACGTTCTTGGAGGGGTTGTCCCGGGGTGCGAGTTTGTTTGGGCATGGCTGGGTGGGTGATGGTTGATTCGCTTTGTGAGGTTCAGAGTGTGGGTTTGATGGATGTTGATGTGTGTGTCTCGAGATTTGTTTAGTGTAGATAATATATGATCGACTGTGAATATAAACGTAAAGGCAGATAGAAGATGAGATGTGTGACTCAAAATGTTTTCGTAAATTGGAAAGGAAGAAAACAGGTCGCGGCACAAGAGGCATTTTAAAGGACGAAGGGCATTGTTCTGTCAATCTCATTGTACTCAATTCTCCCTTGTTAGGAGATAAAGAAAGCTTACAATAGGATTGTAGTGAATGGAAAAGACAAGTATCTTTATTCAGCAGAACAAGAAAACTTAAAATAATTCAAAAAATCGAAATCCTTTGCACTGCTTTGTTCTATTTCGGTTCATCATCTAGAATCTAGCATGCATTGTGTATTTTGCCAGTAGCACCAACCACACAAGCTGCCACCTAATTGATCAAACAAGAGAGAGAGAGGGGCATGGCTCATCCAGTATCTACCCGCCAACCCATCCCCTTGAATTCAAAAGCAGGCTGTCCAAACATAAAAATTGGTGCAGGTCTACCAATACCAAGAATGAAACAGAAGTATGAGGACTACCTCTATAATTTAAGGTTATACTCGTTTGACCTATCCAGTTACTGAAGTAGAAAAGTATGCAAATGCAATGTGCAAAAGAGAGACGGAATATATCAAGGAGGCGGTCCAATTCAGCAGACAGTTCGTTAAGCAAATCATAGATCCAGAAATTTGATATATTCGTGCAAGCAACGAGTTCATATAATCATTTGCTTTCAATACATCTGTTCAGCTCCCCCGTATGCTTCTATTTCCAGCATGTCTTGCGTTCATCATCCCCATACATTTCGATTGTCAATAGGGCACAGCTAAGACTGAAATCTACTATATCATTTCGTTCTCATTCCATTTTTGCTATTTATTTTCCCCAATCCAAACGCCAGCCAGCTTAAAGCCATGCAGACCAGACCAGATCGTAACAGACCGACCATATACATATCGTTCAGTATGCGTGATCCCATCTACCCATTACGAGAGACCTAGATAACAGCTTCCACGCTCCTAACCTCTCTCCAACCCCCTAAAGTGTAGATTCGCTTTACTTCGCAACAGCTGCGCTCAGAACTTGTGTTCTGAAGAATCCTCCCTTCGTCCTCTCAATTACTTGTTGGTATACACTGCTTGGTGGGTGGTTCATGACAACTGTTCCTTCCTTGTAATCAATCTTGGCGTCAACTCTGGTATCTCTGATGAGATTGACAATCCATTTTTCACCATCATCTTGGTTCAAACCCAATCTTGCACTCAAATCCTTGATATCAATTCTTTGATGAATCTTGCAGTAGCTCTCACTGATCAAATGTCTTGCGGCCTCAACAAAGTTTTCAGAGGCGGCGACGAGGAAGAAATCGGAACGGAGAACTTCCTCAGCTTCGGAGAGTTTCTTTTGTGCTTCCTCAAAATCGAAGTCAAGGTATAAAGCCTTGATGAAATCGGTAACGGGGTCTGAATATTCGTAGTTCTCTTGCTTAACAATACGAATGATATCTTTGAGTTGTTTCTGATATTGACCAGTGTTGCGTGTACGGTTACGGTTGGTAATGACTGCAGCAGTCAAGTATCTAAGAATCCATGGGCAGGCGGTTTGAATGGTGTTGATGAATGCTGGGGAGAAGAAGAGGTCGCAGATAACGTCACGAGCGGGTTCGTGGTTGAAGAATGGGAACAAAGCCCAGTGGATGAGCCAGGTGCGGTGATGAAGTTGTGCGAGAGGTTTGTTGAAGAGTTTGGTCTCGATCGATTCCTTCACTTTTTGGACTTCCTCCATAGCGGATTCCCAGTTTCCAGTCAAGATCTCACAAGCCAATTTACCCCATGTTGCTGCAGTGACTTTGTCATCGTCGGTAGAGAGGACTCTGAATTGGTAAAGAAGTTCGGCAGCCGCTCCGTAGTTTCCACAGCTGTATTGGAAGTTACCAAAGTCGTATAAGACGTTAACCATCTCAATTGTGACCTGTTTCTTTGTTAGGTTAAATTTTCAGTGACACAAAATTCCCATACGTACATCATGCTCCTTCTTCAAGAACTCCAAGTTAGCAACCTTGTCGCTTCTCAGTCCAGTAACAACATCCTCTCTGCTTAACAAATCTGTGATTTTCTCGCTCTCTTGTCCGAAAATTTCCAATCTTTGAAGAATTTCTTGTCTCTTATTCGCGTATTCCTTTGGTGCTTCATCCACACCCTCGATTTCGCAGTGGAGACTGGCAACATAATCTGTCATGTTGGTCTTCTTCAACAATTCGAATTTTGCCTTTGTGATTTCTGGCGATGGCTCGTCATCTTGGTCACCGACAAACTGTAGCAAAGGGAAGATTAAATGTCTGTCGAGGTGGGTGATGAGTTTGGGAAGGAGATCGTTCTCTTTGGCGATTTCCTCGGGGCTCTTGGCCGCTGCTTGAGCAGCATCATTAAGAAGGTCATTCGCAGTCGTGGGAGTATTGTCCGCCATGATTGCGATCCTATTGTGCTGTCGTGAGTTGGAAATAGTGGTGGGGTTCACGCTTTCGCAGGATAAAGATGTCGGAATTTGATGATTGTGTGCGCCCGCCTACAAAATTTCGCGCTAGTGGAGGGTAGCTAAAATTATTAGCGTCTTTTTTGTCTTTGAGAAGTTCGCGACGTTCGAATGAAGTTTGGGGAAGATAATTGATCAAAAAATCAATCTTTCCACAACCTCATATCCCTTACGATGTCACTACAATTCCTCAGACCTATGGCTTTGCCTAGACCAACCACTTTACGATATTTCCTAGGTGTTGCTAGACTATCTACGAACCCCTCTTCCCCGAGCCCAACAAAGGAAGCAATTTCAACCTCGACGCCAATTCCTTCACAAACTACACCTGCGACAGCCCCGAATCAACCGTACTATGTATCTCGAACGCTGTCCAAACAACTGCCAGTATATGCACTTTCCAAAGCAGGTGGTAACTTGAAGCAGACAAAAATTAAAAAGATTGAAGGAGATATCATGAAGTTGAAGGAGCAATTAGAAGAGGCATTCTCCGACAAGGAGATTCGGGTCCATCAATTGACGAAGCAGATCATAATCAAGGTATGTTGTGTAGTCCTTATGGAGGTTTAATCCATGAGTTTACTGACCATATCACAGGGGTGGTGTAAACTGGAAGTAAAGGAGTTCCTCAAGGAGCGACATTTTTAGTGGGGGACTTGCAACACATTTATGGACGAGAAAGAATTTATACGGGTTTAGTTGTTTCAAAAGCAATATTTTGCTTTGATTATCATTCTACACACTCAATGCCTATATGTACAATACACTCTTACTTTTCAAGAGAACCCATCACCCCTTGTACACAAACCAATACCAGCCATACCACAAGAATCACAGACATGAAGCAAATGCCACGCCTAGCAGGCAGATATCAAATTACAAACGCCGACTCCATACGCTATTAATTCATGCGTCTATGAACCTTAATACATATATGAAAACCCAACCACTCATTAGCCAAGACTTGTAAAAGTGCACAATTGTCGCAATGCCTCTTTCAGTCTAGGCTGTTTGCGTTCATGTAGTTTTATTATTCGTTCCGTCGTTGGCATTCCAGGTATGGGTATCATAGAGGTCGGGTCTTCAGGGTCTCGTGACTTTTCAGCCAGTCGGCGTAATATTCCAATTCCACCAAGAACTATTTGTAACATTGCCTCTTCCTCTGCCGTTTTAGGTACGGCGGAAACTCTGCCATGCGATGGACCTTGTGGAGCTTCGTGACATAATGTTAATACAAGGTGTGAAAGATTCTTTGCAAACCCATCCTCTGAAGTCAACCAAGCTTTTGCAATGCCACTGTCGTATCCTGGTGCAAGGTTTGCCAGAAGTTCCGCAGCAAGTATGCCTTGCATCAACATTGGCTTTCGGGCTTCAACCAGAGGTAGGAAGGTTCCCCGTTTAGGATCTTTTTGCTGATCAGGTATCACCGAGATAGACAGAGCGAATGTTCTTGTCAGAAGGTCAAAAGGTGGAGACGAAGACACGTCAGAGGCAAAGATCGTTTTGTAATGGGTTCGGTTTGGTTCATCCCGCGCAAGAAGCTTGGCAAGACTATCAACAGCAGGATAGATATAATAATGAATAGTTGGGTCGTACTGCGAAAATGTGATTTTGTCGGATCCCATTACGTTTGGGGGCGGACAGGGCGCAAATGCTAATAGGAAATGCAATAAACATAACGCTTGTTCGCGACCAGGTAACTTGATCTCATGTGCAATGTTCGATAGTAATATAACACCGTCTTTCATAAATTCAAGCGTGTTCTGGTTGGTCCTAAGTAGCATATTTCGAGTTCCCAGATACCGTATTACCACGCAGAAGAATTTAATAACAAACTCTTCTGCAAGGAACAAAAGATTTGGTTCGTGAAATGAGAGGTTGCGCAAGATACTAGTTATGCAAATCAGCTTCTCGACTGCTCGGTCGACCTGATATTCCTCCGATCCAAAAGGTGGAATATCTTGTACGGCATGCTTCTCAGCCTGACAGGCGCGAACGACATCTTCATATGAATTTATGAGCATCATATCCGATACCTCTGCCGCGTTTTCGGCTAACAGTTCAACCTGATCCTCGGCGCAATCCACCAGTGTCTCAACCAAATCATCACACTTCATCAACTCTATTGGTAGCCGTTGTTCGGAGGACACCAAGGCCAGAGTATCTAAAGCCAGACGTACTTCGGCATGTAGTCCGGATTGAAGGCTCATGGTCAAGGCATGGACGTCGATGGTACCAATTTCAGTCAATGGTGGAAAATCTGGCTTTAATTTCAACAAGGAAGTCCCCTCGCCACGGAGAACGTCCAAATCGAGGGCGCCCCCATTTTCATCAGGAATCCGCGAAAAGACCTTCAACTTCTCAGGAAGGACTACGTTCATTAGCTCATCTTGATTTGGCTCATCTAATGACGGCACCATGTTAGGATGAGGTGATGCCAATGATATGCTGCCAGACTTGGGTATTGAGGCTGGAGACGGTATTGGATAAATGCCGGTATTTTGCGGCGGGGTGGCCTCGACACTCCTCGAGAGACTGTTCCGAGCATGGCTTTGAGATCCTAAAGGATGTACTGGCGGGGCTTGTGGGGTTGAGAAACCATTCATGACAGGTTGTTGAGGATGATGTAGAGGTGTCATTTGCTTCATGGGGGAAGTTTGTTGCTGCTGGAGATGCTGCTGTTGGGCGATCTGCTGTTGCATGTAATGTGATGCTTGCATAGAGTTCGATGGAGGCATTTGTTTGGTGGGCGACATTTGGGGTACGCCGATAGCACCGCTCTGCTTCATTGCGGCTGCTCTCTGCCTTTGCATATTGGATTGAAAAGCCTCCTCGAACGCAAGAAGATTTCGCTCATATAGAGCCTTGAGTTGCGGAGGCACGTTTTGATATCTCAAAGGATGTATTTGAATGGCTTGCGCAATTTGTCCCCATGCATTTTGGGCCGTCACATTTCTGTATCCTCCATATTTGGTAACTGCCGCATACAAAACATAAATATTGATATGTCTATCACCTACAAATGGATTCGTCTCTAAAGGCAGACCCTTTGACTGCATGAAAGCAGCCAAGCTTTTGAGAAAATTGTTCTGATTTTGATTTTGGGCCATCGAAGCTTGCTGAGGTCGCATACCAGCAAATTGGCCGTTTGGTGCTTGCATCATCTGCCCTTGAGACAATGGATTTACACCGGGCGACATGTTCTGTCGTTGCGCAGCATGTAGATTGCTCTGTTGTTGATGCTGTTGCTGCTGCTGCTGCTGAAGTGATTGTTGCAGTCGCATCTGATACATTTGCCTGGTTTGGTCCAAAGAAGTGTTCTTTTGTTGCGGTTGGTGATTCGGTGGTTGGGCCTGTTGATTATACATTTGAGGTTGTGACATCGTAGGTGGCATTTGTGGCGTCGACATCGCACTTTGCGGTGGTGCCGAAGTTCGTCCTGGTGGGGGAGTAAAATTTTGACCATAGGCAGGTGCATAGGGAGTGTTCTGGGCAAATGTACTACTTTGTGGTGTCTCGACTCGGCTTCCATGATCAGATTGTGAAGGCGAGAAGGGATGGGGAGAAGCGGTAGAAACTCGTTGTGGTACACCGCCAGGTCGTAGCTGATTAGCCATGATTGGAGACGGACTAGCATTACTCGATCCATTTTGTAGATGCGAATATGGTGTCTGTTGAGGCGCATGTTGTGGGGGGACATTGTTGGGTGAAAAATTGGGGTAGACAGCTTGTTGTGGAGTTTGTGAGCGAGATCCAGGTAGCATGCCCGAAGCTTGCCTGGGTGATGTACCTAGACTGTCTTCCCTTGGCCTTGGTCTCTTTGATGGAATAACAGGATTGGTTTGATACACGGGGTTGTTGAAGGCTGGCGACCCATTGCGCATTCCACCATTTTGCATTCTTTGTTGTAATTGTTGATTCTGGAATTGATTGGGATCAAAGGATGATGAAGTGGGCATAAAACCCGATGGGTCCATCATGTTTCCTCCGGTATTCGATTCGTTCATATGATTGAAGCCTGCGCCATTGTGATTTTGGACGGCAGCGTCGTTCATCCAGGAGCTCATGTCTGTGGATGATAGTAGTGGCAACCCATCTGCAGATGCGCACAAGTGTTAGTTATCATCAAAGTTAAGTTTGAATCCATTGAAATCCAGTAGGGTAAAGGTGCAGACGCAGAAATAAAAGATAGAATCTAGCGCGATGAAGTCGCGACGCGCTGATGGGTCAAATGAAGCAAAGGGGGAAACAATTGCTTCATCAACTTTATTATCAACCGCATCCACGATATTCAATCCACATGCGCATGAATAACTACAATATGTCTCGTGACATCCTTCTAACATAAGGATAGGAATGAGAGGAATGAAAGGCAAGGTCTTACCTATCGACGCGCGCTGTTGAGGTCCCAAATTGTTTTGACAGTCTCGGAGTCTCTCTTCACCTGAATTGTACGCTAACGTAAGATTAGGATTAGTGACTAAAAAAGTAACGCCCCAAAATAACCACGCTTCGTTAATGAAGATCAAAGGGGAAAAGAGACTTTCTAGAATTTCAGAAATTATCAACTCACCAACCAATGACGCGATGATGCAAATAGGTGAGTTGGGATAATAGAATTATAAATAAATAAAAAGAAGAATTGGTTATTTTCTAGAACAAAATATGTTGTGTCAGTCAATTATCCATGGCCATTGGAAGATCCAGAATGGTCGAATTGGTGGGTGCGTGGGTGGAATATGATGGTGAGTATGAAAATGAATAGGTATTTGTGGTGATTTGATGGATGAGTGATGAGTGATGAGTGATGAGTGATGCGATGACAAGAGGTATTGTGTTCCAAAGTAAATGATTGCAACATCACATTGGAGGAGAGTGAAAGCGTGACCAATGAGGAGTGTAAGGATCCAAGGTCACGTTTGTGTTGGGTTGGAGGTGGAGGGAGGGAGGTAGTAGCTTGATGGTTAATAATAAGGTACGGTGGTGAGGTAAGGTAAGGAGAGAAAAGGTATCAAGGCAGCGACGAAGCGGTAAGAAGCCCTCCCGTACAACTTCGCCGGATTTGTGCGGATAAGATACATGGGAAGATCAAGAGATAATTGAAAAGATCGGAACATACCCGTCTCAATCCACGGCTCCAAAACCAAGGTCGAATGAGAATAGGATCGGGCAGAGAATGGGGGTTTGGATCCGACGGTTGGCGAAATAATGCTGTATCGTAAAAATAAAAAAATAAGAATCAATGTGAGAATGCTTGCTGTAACACGTTGGTTGAATCAACTGGTGGACCGAATAAGCAACCCAAAGATAATTGAAATGCCTAGGCAGCGTGGAATGAGACTCCAAAATGCGAATTGGAACTAATGAGAAGTCTTCCGGGGGAGGGTTGTGTGTTGCGTTGTTGAGTAATAAGGAGATTGTCGGATGAATGTCGCGGCCTTCACCTGTTTCTTGCTGATGGATGGATAGATGCTGTATTTTCCTTTCCTTTCCTCGGTCGTCGCTCCATTTTTTTTAGAGAGAAAAAGAGAAAACGGCTAACGATGGTTAAGCCAATCATGTCTCGATATCCTTGGCTCAACTCAATTTGTAACCCTTCCATCCGAAAAGATCATTCTCTCATCTTCAATGGATTCGAATGGGAATTCGAGTCACATCAAAAACCGTATAGACTGATCCTTCATCGAGACCTAGGTTATCCTTATTACTGTCAATACCTATCTTCGCAACGTCCTAAAGATTCCTTGGTTAATGAAATTGGGTGAGTAAGTATAGTAAAAATGAGCGATAGTATGTGTGTTGGACTAGTATGATTGGTTCCCGGTCGTGCCTGTTCCTGATGCGGTGTGAAATTCCTGGTCGCTTTAACCTGACGGATTGATACCATAAGAAAATCCGTGACATAAAGGGAAAAGAACTGGACATTTCCAAGATGAAGAAAGTGAAGGAAAGGTTGCAGAAATCAAGGACAGTGTTCCATGATATAGAGATGACTCCATACGAGCCATTTGATGTTGTGAATCCATTTGCTCCAGTTTGTTGTATTGGGAAAATGGAAGGCCGCCCTGTGTTTCTCTCGACAAGGTTTATGATAGTGCGAGGAGGGAGGATACAGGACGGAGGAATTGAATCAATTCCCAAGAATGGCTCGGAACCAGAAAGAAAACGAAGAAGAAAAGGCCGGTGGAATAGAAGACAGAATCATGATGCCAGGGAGAGAATGGTAGGATGAGAGGAAAAAACAGGAACAGAAGAAAAAGAGGGGGAATGGAGTTTTATTTATTTTATTTAATTGTTCAAAGGTGCAGGGCCAATTTGGAAATCACGTTTCCCACCGGGATATAAGCTTTTGGCGTATAATTCATTGCCTTACCTGACGATCCAGAAAAGATCAGATTGATAGGTTACAAATGCCGTCTCTGAAGGATATGCTGGTATGGCACTCGTTCCTTCTTTCACTTCTCTAGACCCATTTCAATTCTCCTCACATCATGGAGATACTAACCATATCACTCACACAAACACACAGACCAATGAGACCCTTCCAGATTATGCCTCTTGGGTTTGGGATGGGATGGGATGCGTGAGAAACGGGATTGGTAATTTGACCAGTAGACACACAGGTGGGCATACGATATTTAGATCTTTCTTTCCGTGAGGTGCCAATATAGTCTGGGGACCTCGTTTCGTTGACTCGTTATTTCCCGGGGATTTCGTTTGACAATTCCTGTGCGTTTCTTTATGATACCTATGTTTTGTGGTATGTTTGTGGCTTCGATTGACATCCACTAATGAGAATAGGTGAAAGGGAACCAAAAGATTAGACGGGACAATCTATACTGTACTCAGGTCGATCAATGCATCTAGGTTCTGTTTTCATGTCATCTAAATACCTAGTAAGCTTATAGAGCATTGCTATCATTGCCTTGACTGATAGCTCCGTGGTACGCTCTTCCTCCTCACAACCATATTGATTCATTGGAAATCAATGAGACCAGTGAAATGCTGCGCGTGGGAAAACGAAGGGAGGATATCGTGTATGGTATTTTGTGGTGATTACTGCGTATCATGATTCCTGCATCTGAGACTATTTATCCTGCAAGTAATGTGCCGTGAAATTGCAACTTCCCTCGCGTTTTCTTCATATTCATTCGATATCTGCCTCGGAGCCGCCCATCCGAATCCGTCGTTGGTGATTGTGGAGACTCAATATCTCGTTGAAGGTTGCTGGGTGGAAGCACGAAAGCTTTGTGGAAGGAGAGATGCTTTTGACAGAATGGCGTTCATGTTGCTAGGGTTTATTTGAGAAGAGTGCCTCAATGGTCTATCAAGCATGCATAAGACAGGGTCTGATGCCTTTAAAAGCCCAGAACAGCGTGGATGGATGGATGGATGGATGGATGGATAAATGTCCGTTAAATCACACATTAATGAATGTCCAGGTGAGGAACGAGAACAAACGTCTAGTGGCACCATGGAAAAGGAAAAAGATGTCTCTTGTGTAATGTACGAGGTGAATACTATCGAGTTAACTCTCATTCTCATGTGTCTAAACATTCCCCTTCTCAGGATCTGAATAAGTGCCTGCTAGCTACCTCGTAACATTACCGTACTCACCTAGTGTTTCCCTACACTTTAGACACTTTCGTAGGTGGTATTAAAAGGGAGGAGTGCAGATGGTGTAACTGGGGCACAACATAAAAATGGATTAGCTTTTGATTTTAGTTTCGGCAGGCACGAGGCTTCTTGGTCGTCATTTCTTTCGCTTAAGGAAGTTTGGGAAACGCCGAGAAGGTTTTAATCCTTGTTGCTCCATCCAAATAAATATATGGAGGCATTGGAGGCGTTGGAGCTTGGAAAGCTTTGGTGATATTATCTCCATGGGCCCATCAAATCATCCGTTAGCTTATCTACGTCGTGCTAGGGGAATTCACCTCTCTCTTTTCCATTGCATAAACATACAAGGTTTCAAATATCCATTGTGTTTACCATTAATCAAACACAACACACGGTACATACGGTACGAGATGGTCAAGAGAAAGGCCAAAGATGTCGGAGATGAAGTTCACGTAGCGCCTCGGAGATCAAGTCGACAAAAAGTAAACAATACTGAGAGCTTGAAAGAAAAGGCTACAACTTCATCAACTTCGTATCCCTCGGCACCGAATACCAAGAAGGAGATCAAAAAGCAGACGGCAAACAGAGATTCTCAAAAAGAAGCAAATGTTAACGGAGAAGTTACTGCACCAAAACCGACTGTTGTAGGTTGATTATTTTCCATACGTTCAATGTTCTCATGCTCTAGTCTCCCGAGACTTATATACCGACCTAGCATTTACTGCTTCATATTTTGATTCACGAGGACCCTCTTGGACAAGCACGTGCTCTTCACAAATCATGCTTCATACCGACTGGTAGTGATTTTATCTCATGCTCTTCAATCATTTTAATAATTTCATTTTCTATCTCTGCGCTTTCGAGTTTAATTCTGGTCCATTTTTAGAGTTCTACCAAATCCACAGAATCTACCAACCTATCTCTACCAAATGGCACCAAATCTACTACAACAGAAATTCTCTCGGGCGAATCCTCATCAACTCGTCAATATTGGCTAATGAAAGCTGAACCTGAATCACGTATCGAAAAAGGTCATGATATTAAATTCTCCATCGATGATTTGGCAGCCAAAACTGAACCAGAGCCTTGGGATGGTATGTTATTCCTTACACATGTATGACATGTAAATATTAATACTAACGTTTTGAAAGGAATACGAGCATATCCAGGTGTGTCACCTTGCCCCTCTGTTTTACAATACCATCACTTATACATAAATTAGCACGCAACAATCTTCGTGCGATGAAAAAGGGAGATTTGGCCTTCTTTTATCATTCATCATGCAAAGTTCCTGCAATTGTTGGAATCATGGAGATTGTTGAAGAACATTCTCCGGATCGTAATGAATCCCCATCAATCATATACTTTCGATTACCATACTAATGAGAAGAATAGTCTCAGCGCATGATCCTACGGCCCCGTACTACGATCCCAAATCGTCACCGGATGATCCCAAGTGGAGTGTCGTACACGTCGAATTTCGCCAGAAACTAAAAACACCTATCACGCTCAAGGAAATCAAAGCTTGGTTTGAAGAAAAGGGAAATGCATTGAATAATATGCAAATGTTGAAGCTGGCACGGTTGAGTGTAAGCAAAGTAACTAGTGATGAGTGGAGATTCCTGGTAGGTGAAATGGAGAAGAATGGGGATGTGATTAAGGAATAGTATTCTCAAGGCACGATGAAAGTGTGATATTTTAGGGGTATTAAAATCTTCTTGAGGTGGATTAACGATGGATACTCACAATTGCACAACAATTGATTTGAATTAATACTTTATACACAGCATTAAAAAGTCAAAGGAAAATAATACAAGTCTCGCTGAAAACCCGTCAAATTATAGGTGCCACACACACAAAGTCGCATGCTCAACATTCTACAATACACAGATCAGTTCACTACGAATCTACCATCCCCAAAACCTATTGTACTTTATTTCGAATATCGATCTTCCCTTATACCTTTCTCCCCTACCCCTGTTTGCTTGTCATTACATTTTCCTCTCCTTTTCTTATATTCCTCTATTCCTCTTCAATTTCATACAAGATACATCCGCATTCCTACCACCTATCACGCTCTTGAGTCTCTACATTCAGATCAACTTGTTTTTGATGTTTCATTATAAATATTGGAATAGAGAGGTTGTTCGTGGATGGGTAGTATCTAAATGTTTGAATGATGGATGTATGGAATTACTTTGTTAAAATTGGATGGGATGGGATGGGATGGTAATCATTGTTATCTGTAGGGAATTTCTTGGTATGCCCAGGTGTTATTTATCTGTTTATATGATATGCTGCTCTTGTTTCTTTCTTTTGTTTCTCGCCTTTCATGTTTGTAGGCAGTGAAGGGATACTTGGGTCTGAGTTGTTGGTTCTCTCTCTCTTGCGCTCTTCCTAGTATTTCGTAGGGCTAGTCAAGCTTTTTCAAAATCACCATCATGAATCAAATTGGGTTTCTTCGCGCTTGCTTCTATATGGGTAAGGTTTATCTAGCTGTCTGTATAGCTAGTTTTTGTGAAAGGGGATTGTTTTTATAGAAAGAGAAAGGAAGGAAAGGAGGAAGAGAAATGGAAAGAGAAGAGGTGTGGTGATGTTATGTAAGTCTCTAAGCTACACAGGTCTTAGTATGGATAAATTTGGGTTTGGTTGGGATGATTTGAGATTCGAGATTCGAAATGCGAGATGTGATGTGTGAGATTTTGAAGATGTGGGTATAGTAGAGGGAAGGGTGATGCGTTGTGAAGTCTCTGCCTTAGCATTCCAAGGTTATGTATTATGATTTTTGAGACTGATGAGTGTATTGATAGTTTAGATTAGGCGAGAAATGAATGCGTGGGGGAATATCTGCCTCTAGTTTGAGGGAAATAGGGTATGAGACTTAAGCTGATGTACTGGATCGACTGAGGATAAACATTGTATGTAGAATAAATGAAGATTGAACTTTTTGTTTTTATTTATCAAGACTTGAGAGAAATAGGGTGAATAGGGACTTGAAGTTTTGAACATGTAGACATGATCTATAAAGATTGTGTGATGTCAAGAGCTATGAAACGTAATTTTCTAGCCAGCTCGAATACAAGGAAGATTGTTAAATTTACATACTTGGTAGGTTCATGAGTACTACTGTAGCAAGGCAATGTTGTATAGCAATCCTCATCTTTCCTGCAGTTTATTCTGATCAAGCATCTTCTCCAATCTCACTTTCCAACCTTGTGTCAAATACCTCAACAACTCCCTTTGCTAATCAAATAGCTTTAACCGACTGGAAACATAGTTCAATGGTAGAATACTCGCCTCTTAGTGTGGACGGACTGCATGTGGGGCACCTCTGAGTGCTTTCGTGGTTCGGACCTACCGTGAGTATGTGTGATGGGAGTTCGAGTCTCTCTGTTTCTAATAATCATTTTATTTTAGGGGTAGACTGCAGAGAAGAGAGGGTAAATAAACTGAGGAGTAGTAGAGCTGGGTACGCGAAAGTGACTTGTGCAACAGAGGTTTGTTGTTCGAGGATGATCTTTAATATACTCCTTACCCTATCGTCGCAAAACAACACATATAACAGGAAGCGAGAACATACTGTTCGAGATCGAAATAAGAGCATGTACCAGTTTGAGAATCTTTGAATATGTGATATGTTTGCTCCGTGGTTTTCCTGCCCGCGGAGAGTGTTTGGTAGCCCCGATGCTTCGGTTTCCTCGAACAAACAGACGGACGAAGATAAATGGAATGAGTTATAAGCAGGACCCTCTACCTAGCCCACGAAAATACATATACTCCATTTCATTTCAAATTCATTTAAACGGACCTCAAACGAAAGAGAGCATATAGGATATCATAATTAACATACAATATTGGGAGTGTATGCAGCTCAAGTACTGCTCGAGAGACACTTCAGAACAAGTGATCTGTCGACAAAGGACACTAATCAAGTTAGGAAGACAAAGAATCCATGAAAGTTGCGAGAACAGCAGAGGGGGAAGGTTATCAGAAAGGCACTAGTTAAGAAGAATGAACGAAGAGAGCGCCAAAGGAAGTGAGTTCAAAACTACTACGGATCCAAATACGCTGGTATTTCCACCGCACTGCCACATACAGTTGACGAACTGATGGCCCAAACTTTTAGATCTCATAGCAGCGGAAGAAATGGAAATATGACTATCTCAGAAGGCAGCTTAGAAAAATAGTATGGCTAATTTGAACCATAGAACCACAATACATATGATACATAAAACTTTCGATGTATTCGTTGTATTTATTCCAGTTTGATTTGAGATCCTCATCATATCAATGCCTTTAGTCATTTTGTACCACGGGCCTGGGCAAGGTAATATAATTGACGTTGAGAATTCAACCCCGGATCGGAGATTAGATAATTGATGCATTACCGCACCACCGACTTTATAATGATTATGTAATTGATGTGATTGGGTGGGTCCGCAAGGCTGCAGCAACCGCTGAAAACTAGGGAAGAAGGCTACATCTGGATTCACTGTACAAGTGATATTGCTTTGGTTTACTTACTTTAGATCTTCGGTATCAAATCCTCTCTCTACTGTACAATATTCTCGAATGAACGCAGCACACGAGGATTTCATTCAATACCGACTTCCTGTACCTTCTTTAATTACGCTGACACAAAACTCTCACTTTCTATTGATTGTAATTCTCATAAACTTCACTTGAGCGTTTGCGAAGCAATTCGATAAAGCTCTTTGAACATCTAACTCTCACATAAATTTAGGTTAGACCACATAATTCGAGACTCATTCTATAAAGACGGGTATCATTGGGAAATAAAGCTCAAGAATTTGCAAAGATTTTCTTGTCTTTCTAGCTTCCGCCATACAGTGATAGGTCACCATGAACGGGTCTACTAATGGGCACACTACAACTACCAACGAGGTATCAGGTTCTCATGCCAATGGAAACACGGCATTATTGTCACAAATCCACGAAGCCTTGAAACTTGTCCATGCTCCGTATTCATCCAACCAGTCTCGCCAACAAGCCTCGAGCTTCCTAGAGAATATCAAAGCCGAAGACGAAGCTCCTTATCATGGGTTTACCCTAGCATCCGATAAATCGCAAGAACCGGTCGTACGTCACTATGCACTGTCTCTTTTGGAGCACGCGATAAAACATAAATGGGCAGCATATTCGGAAGGGCAAGCAAGTGCGCTGCGGCAATGGGTCATTCAACTCTCGGAGAATTTGGCTCAAGAGGACCCCTCATATCTGCGAAACAAGACAGCACAACTCTGGGTAGAGATTGCGAAGAGGAGCTGGGGATCAGAGTGGATTGATATGGATAAGCTTCTCGTGGGTCTATGGGAGCTTCCAGGTACTGTGGTTTATAAGGAATTTGTTCTGTTTGTTCTCGAAACCCTCTCCGATGAGGTCTTCAACGGCGAAGACGCTGTCACGGTCTTACGCGAGGGTGCTCTGAGCAAAGCTTGTGTCGAAATCTTCACACCTGCAGTTGTACTATCAGAAGCATTCCCAAATCGACAGATAGGTACCGTCTTGAGACATGGAGAAGAAGGTTGGCTTGTGAGAATTGGTGGATTGCTAGGCCAGTGCCTTCAACTGGACATTTCGAGTCCTCAGTATCAGAGCTGTGCAGTGAAGATACTGGCTGTTTATAAATCCGTGGTACCCTGGACCGTACCAAAAGCCATCTCCAGTGCTCAATGCGTGCAATATATGTGCAAATGTCTCGCTGCGCCCAGTACACCCGTGCAACTGGTAAGTTTAAAACAGTACCTGTGAAACTAGCTTCTAGAACTGATATCCTTTGTTAGGCGTCTGTTCAAGCTCTATTCGCACTTTATTCTCGTGTGCATTTTTCGGATGAAGAATTCTTAGAGCTTGTATGCCCGATGTATACCAGCGAAGTGGTTGGTCTACTACGAAATCTATTCCAATGGTCTGTGGTAGACGCAAATGATATTGACGATGAAAAGTATCTATTTGCTAAAAAGTTTTCTGAGGTTTGACACACTTTTGACAACCAACCCGTTCATACTGACCTCGTGTAGATGATGTCAAATCTCGGAGTCTTCATAGAATCTAAAATTTCAGCTATACCCGAATCTTGCGATCTTTCTAACCTCTTGAATCTTTTTCTTGCTATTGCTCAAAGTCAAAGCCTTGTCGTTTCGATACCCATTATTCTTACCTGGACAAAATTGCTTCGCTCGCCAATCATTGGAGGGTCTTCTTTTATAACACCTTTAATTGCTCCTCTTCTAGAACTTTCTAGTTCACGCCTCATTCGATATGAGAACATGCCAGATGACTGCGAAGATCCAGAGTACCTATTTCTACAGGAAGATATCGATACACAGCCTGAAAGACATGCATTTCTAGGAAACTATCGACGATATTGCTCTCAAATCATAGAGCTTGTCGTTCGGCAGAAGCAATCAGAGGCCATCTATCATATTTTAAGCCAAGTGGATAACTCTTTGCAGCACCTTTATGATGGGTGCCCCCCCTTTTCTGGTAGATTGCCTCCTCCCGCCCACCCCGATTCTAAATAGCATTTAATTGACCCAATCTTAGTGGAAAACTATTCCAAAACCTCGATAGCAGTACTACGAGTTGATAAGAATTTCACGGTGGTAGAAGCGGCACTCAAGGGATATATGAAATGGAGAGCAGG